CAAAACTGCTACGACAGCGAGAGCGTTTGGTCTTGTGTCCCAGCAAGCATTTACTGCAACAATGCTATGATGGGACCTTACCAAAGAACTGGACAGGTATGTTAAACTAAATAATCTTTGAAACACAAGATGCTAATACGTTATAGAATGTTTATGATGTCCGTGGCAAATGTGAAGACACCAGCAACTTGTGCTACTCTGCCCTTGGCTGGATCAGCGAGTTCTTGAACAAGGCTGATGTTCAAAAAGAGCTTGGTGTTGAAGTCAGCAGTTACGACAGTTGCAACTTTGATATCAACAGAAACTTCCTTTTCCAAGGTGACTGGATGCAACCTTTCCACCGTTTGGTACCAGGTATCCTCGAGCAAATCCCGGTCTTGATCTATGCTGGTGATGCTGATTTCATCTGCAACTGGCTTGGAAACCAAGCATGGACTGATGCTCTTGAATGGCCTGGCCAAAAGGCTTTCAACGCCGCCAAGACCAAGGATCTCCAATTGGAGAACGGAGACAAGACTGGTACCTTTAAGAGCAGTGGTAACTTCACATTTGCTCGTATCTTTGGTGCTGGACACATGGTCCCAATGGACCAACCTGAGGCTTCGTTGGATTTCCTCAACAAATGGTTGAATGATTATACTCTCTAGATCATTAGATATTGGCTATCTTAGACTAGAATATACACGGATGATGAATGAAGGAAGCAAATTGTATTTATTGCGATGAGATTGGGCATGGCATGGATGGGAATCGGACACTTTCTTTCGATTGTACTACAGTAATGGAATAACACGGATACACATTAATCTGATATTAAACACATGAACTTATGAACTTCTACTCATGCAGTGACCACCCTTCTATTTGATTTACTTCTATTGGTGTTTGTCTACTCAATGGATAATGATAATGATTATATCTCAAGCACACAGTCCCTTCGAAACCTGAAAATGAGGAAGCTAGAAAGCATTTGATTGTTTTAAAAATTGAAGTAGGATAGACATTCACAGTACCCAACTGTCAAATATGAATTGGCATAACTTATCAAACTACCCAACGTCTAATTGTCCTATCCGAGTTGATAGATTAGGAACATTTAATCGTCCGATATTGATTGAGAGATTGAAAGCATCGAATTGTGAGATCTGAGTTAGAACATTCCGAACACCTAACTGTCACACTTGAATTGACACATTGAAAGCATCTGATTCTTGAACTTTGATTGGGGATTGGAAGTATTTGATTGGTGAATTTGATATGGGACATTGTAGATATTTTATTTAAGCTGTGAATTAATACTAATTCCTAGGAAGACTTCGTAGCTTATCGTACTGTTTCTCAATCACAATCGCTCATTAATATCAACTTTCAAGTCATGACAATGTTCCCACGATACTCCTTAGATACCGGTACACTGTTACCCTGCTTAGGTAGGTACCTGGGTACTGATTACATACAATGAGGCATTGACCGTTGAAAATGTTGAAAATGGGTGGCTGGTACTCTTCCGAGGTGTACGAAGTATTTGTCTTATCGTGATGAAAGGTTTCGATGACGATGGAAGTTACAATGTTTCAGTACCTTCCTTTTCGAGATGTCGACGACATCTTAGCACGTCCCGATCTCCATTTAATGAGTTACGAATTATGGGGATTTTGCATTTATCGTATCTGGGGTGCAAGATAAGGTAGGGGTGAGCTCGGATGAAGCTATTGTAGCTTGTGAGGTGAATTAAGAAAGTATATGCAGGAAGTCTACGTCGTGAGTTATACAACCTTGGTGGTGCATGGAAAATGCATTGGGTGCTTGCGAAAAACCCCGCTCAAGATTTATCTTCAGTAATTGATAAGCAGGGCGGTAGCGCTGATTAATTTATCTTCCTTTTGTCACTTCTTCTTCTTCTCCTCTCCTTCTCACCGTCAATCAATACATGTCACTTCATCGTCATGTATTCCTCACTCCGGGTACCCATCCTTCTCACAGCAGCAACATCAGTTGCTGCTCAATTCGTCAAGGCTCCTACAGATCTTATTAATGCCACTGGATACCTTGATTTACCAGTTCGATACAAAGAAGTCCCAACTGGTATCTGTGAAACGCAGGAAGGTGTTAAGAGTTACTCGGGATATGTGGATGTCGAGGAAGATCAACATGTCTTTTGGTATGTTGCTACCTCTGGTCTCTAGATTTGACCAAACTCTCATCATTCCTAAATAATCTTTATGTTAACATCCCTCTAGGTGGTTCTTCGAAACCCGTAACGGCAACGCTTCGGAGGCTCCATTAACAGTATGGATCAACGGCGGACCGGGCTCTTCTTCTATGATTGGTCTTTTTGAGGAAAATGGACCGTGTTACATTGATGCAAAAGGAAGTGTGATCAATAATCCTTATAGTTGGAATAATGTCAGCAATATGATTTATATTGATCAGCCTACTCAGGTATGTGAAATTGAGAGAAGAGAGGCGATGGACTCGTGAACTGACCCCATTGCCAGGTCGGTTTCTCATACTCAATTCCAGTCAATGGATATGTTGATCCTAGCTCGGGTTACATCATCACTTTGCCAAATGCTACTTGTCCAGACTATGCACAGGGTTCGGACTGTGGAACTTACAGTTATGGAAATGAAAGTCTCACGGTTAATTCTACCCAGGCTGGAGCTCCCAACTTCGTAAGTTTTGATCTAGGTCTTTCAAAGAGATGTACTGATGTAAACATAGTGGAAAACATTGCAAGGATTCATGGGTGCCTTCCCTGAATACTCTCGAAATGGATTTCACTTTGCGACTGAGAGCTATGGTGGTCATTATGGTCCAATATACAATGAGTATATTGAAACTCAAAACGCGAAGAACATCTCCGGTGCTCATCAAATCTCCCTTGAATCAGTTCTCATCGGAAATGGTTGGTATGACCCATTGATCCAATACCAAGCTTACTACAACTTTACCGTCTACCCTGGAAACACATACGACTATTCTCCTTTCAACGAGAGTGTACAAGCCCAATTCTACAACAACCTCTATGGTGCCGGAAACTGTGTCGATCAAGTCAAAGACTGTGCAGCGAGAGGTATCAATGAGATTTGTCAAGCCGCAGATACTTTCTGTGCTGATCTCGTAGAAAGTATCTTTGACACCTATTTGGGAAGAGATGAATATGACATGAGAGAATTGACACCTGATCCTTTCCCATATGGCTACTACACATCATATCTCAACACACCAAAGGTCCAAGCTGCTATTGGTGCTTTCCAGAATTTCAGTACTTCTTCAAGTACAGTAGGAAATGCTTTCACCGCTACTGGTGATGATGAGTAAGTGGAAGTCAAAAGCACATACTTCACGAAGGTTACTAATCTCTTTACAGTCGAGAGTCTGGTACTATTGAGGCAGTCAGAGCATTGCTTAGCCAAGGAGTTTACGTCGCTATGATGGCTGGTGATGCCGATTACAAGTAAGCACTTCAAGTACCAACATTAATTTAGATCCCTCCTAACACAGATCTCCAGTTGCAACTGGCTAGGTGGAGAAGTAGTCGCTAACGAGGTAAACGCCACCAACTTCTCCCTCGCCGGCTACACCAATATTACCACCTCTGACTCCATCGTCCACGGTCAAGTAAAGCAATCTGGACTCTTCTCCTTCTCCCGCATCTACGAGTCCGGTCACGAAGTTCCCTTCTACCAACCTCTTGCCTCTCTCGAAATCTTCGAAAGAGTCATTGGAAGAAAGGATATCGAAAGTGGATTGATTAGCATTGATGGTAACAAAACTTACTTGACGACGGGAACGCAAAAGAGTACGTATAGAGAAGGCAACGCAACAATCCAATTCGAGGTTTTGCCATCAAATAGTACATACAACACCACTTTGAATGGACCAAACCCAGTAAGTCTCGCGAAGACGGAATTAAAGAGGTCACTTTTAGGGAGGGATAGTGGAAGTGGAGGTATGAAGAAGAGATTTAAGCCGCAAAGTAAGAAATCAAAGAGGACTTGGCATTGAGTTGCATGAGGAACAGAGCAGAGGGTGAAATACAATCTTGCTGCGAGTTTAAGATATTTGCTAGGAGGAGCTACACTAAAAGAAGGAAGGTGGTACATTTCCAAAAAGTAGATAATGATCAAATGAGCAAAATGAATGGCAATTAATTTCTAACTTTAAGTTTTGACTGTTTGTGAAGGTCAATTCAGACTTCAATTCCTTAATTTTACTTCATCGATTTAACATGAATTCTGTCAATCAATGGATGTACCAACTACAAATTGCGAAACATCTCCTATGTGGCATAAGAAGGGTCCGCACTCAAAGGTCGTTGCTAGGTTCGCTCTTGTCTTGTACGCAAACGCGAGGATGGTTTAAGATCCACGGGTGAGGTATCCAGCTCAAGACCGGCTTTGGGAAAAAGCTGGCCGAGCGAGGCAGAAGACGGGGTAGGGAGGAAGGAGGGAAGGAGAGGGAAAGGGAGAGGGAAAGATACTCTACCGTTGGTGGTTTGATATATGGGTGCTAGAGCTTCTTGCGTGCTTACACCTGTCGTAATGGTATTGCTTGAGGATGCATACAGATGGTGAAGGGGAATCACTGGCAAGAAAGAAAGAGAGAAGAAAAGAAAGAAAGAAAGAAAGAAAGAAAGAAAGAAAGAAGGGTACGTGAACGGCTTAGGATATGCAGTTCGTGATATCCCTGGGTAGGTAGTAAGTACCCACCTTGAACAAGTGAGTGCTGATTTCCAAGCAATCACTTTTTAGAAGGTATCTCCCGTAGATTGTTGCTCAAACGAAACGCGAAAGAAATGAAACGGAAAGAATTTTTCTTTTTCCATCGTTGAATTTAACTCGGACAAACTAAGCTCCGATATTTTCGGCGCTGGGTGAGTGTGTGTCATTATAGTGTATCTGATAAAGCTTCTCCGATGAAGGTTCGGCGCTAAGATAAGCTAAGGCAAGCTTAATTCTGAGATTCAATCCATTTAGATAATAGATCCCACTTTTCTAAGGCTTTTCGATATTTCGCACTCGGGACTCGGATGGTGGTGCTGGTTTGGGAGGGGGATACGGTTGGCGGGCTTGTTGGAACTTGGGACTGGTTCTTTTCGGTTGTAGGCTTTAGAGAGTGGAGGGTTGGAAGTTGGAAACTCGGATTAGGTGGGATGGGGGGGTAGAATGCATTGGATAGAGAATTGTGAGGATTTTGAGGATTAGATAGCTGAATATAAAAAAGTACATCTGGTTGGTGAAAGAAGAGACTTAAACATAAAATAGATTCATATTCCTCAATACCAAGAATCTTTTGCAGGAGGCTGACATGTGTTTATGGCTGTGAGGTTTGCTTGGCACATTGTCGATGTGCCTGATATCCGTATTGGCAAGACTTGAAGCGACAGGATTATTGGCTGGAAAGTCCATAGGCGTCATGATTGCAGTGAAGGATGGAGTTGTGGTGTTACTTTATGAAGTCCGGGCTTGGGTTTTGCGGGGAGAAAGATGAGAAGATGAGAATGCCCAAATACGCATTGGGTAACATCTCAGAAATGTTTAATCACGCCTGTTTCCATCCAGTACAAGGATGGAGGCACGACGCTTGTGATTCGAGCAAGGCCGGCTTGAATGGAGAGAAGCCAAGACTCTTCCTCAAAATTGGATGGGATGGACCTACCCTCTCTTGACGAACAGAATTAACTAGGTTTTGTTCCTGGATCAGGAAGTTATGTTCTTCTTTATTCCTTTCGCCTTCTTTTCTAACAGGTGTGGAGGTTGAGTCTTCCTTCTTGATGCCATCGCCATATTGTCGGTGCAACATTCAGGGAAAAAGAAAAGGTAACTTATACTTGAGGTTAAGAACGATTTGTATGCTGAATGATTTAATGAGAGTGGATTGCGTTCTTTGTCACTCGATCGATTGATAGCCTTCCTTATTAGTTGGTTGTTTTCAAATCTGCATTGGGCTTCTTTTTTGATTTGCTGTGTTTGCGATACATACCGCATTGGATTGGAAGGACAGGACGACCAACATTCGGTTTAATAGATGCGATAGTGCTTTGATAGAAGGGTTGAATCATTGTGCAGAATGTCTCGTCTGAGAGTGACGATTCCTTCTGCGCCAACCCGTATTGCGGCGGTGGTTGAGAAGACTTTTCGGGCTCTGATCTCAGTTATCATTGTTTGTGTTATCTATAGATACTGCTGGATAGGTAGGGCAACATCTCAACTCTCCTCGGCCCACAACCCCTTACTCCGAGACGCTCACAGCTAATAACCAACTCGCAGATATCTCCGATCCATACAAATGTGGTGCGCTACTGAATAAAGGCCAATGGCTAGATCCAGGTCCAAGATGGAGCTCGAAAAATCCTTTTCAGAATTGGCAACCTCCAGGATGTATGATGCATGAATACAAGCGGAAAGACATACAAGAATGTTTCAAGGAACGCAGATTGGTCTTTGTTGGAGATTCCACCACACGACAGATTTTCTGGGCAGTCGCAAAGAAGATGGACCAAAGAAGAGCTGAGGAACAGATCACAGAGCATTTGGATTTGGATTTGGCGGACAAACACAAGGATTTGGAATTCAGTTCTTCGGGCGTTACGGTCCAGTTTATTTGGGATCCATATCTCAATTCTACGGGTTTGGACCGAGAATTGAAGAGCTTTAATGCAAATCCGGCGCAAGATTCGAAAACGGATGAGAGTGCTGGGTTGATATTGTTGGGGGCTCCGGGGTTGTGGTATGCGAGACATGGACAGGAAAATTACTTCAAGGATTTCAGAGATTCGATTGAGCATGTTATCCCTTTCATGGATCATGATGGAGGAGAGCATGCTTTGCGGGCTGCAGCATCACAATCGTTTCCTTCGAAGAGGAAATCTCCGAATTTCTTACTCTTAGCACCGGTACAGGTACCTTGGTATCAGGCTCTATCGCCCTCTCGAGAGGAGACTATTACACCGGAAAAGATCGATCAAATGAACGATTATTTACAACAGGTTTCTGCACACTCGGAAGCTGATATCGTTTGGAGCTTTTCGCTCATGACTTGGGCTGGCCAAGGAGAATATGAGGAGAGTGGATTGCATGTGGTTGATAACGTGGCCCATCGAAAAGCTGATGTTTTGCTTAACCTTCGTTGCAATGCAGACTCCGTTGGACGAGGCTATCCTTACGACCGAACCTGTTGTAATAACTACCGACAGCCTAATGTGATTCAATGGCTCTTTGTTTTGGTTGGAATGATACTACTTCCTAGTGTCTTTTTACTGCGCCGTAAGCATTTCTTAAGAATTGGACGTCTATTACCTCAACCAGAAGTTCTTGGTGCTCTTATGACATTTGCTTTGGCAATTTGCCATTGCTACTACGCTGATCGAACTCAATTATTTGAGAAAGAGCATAAGCAATTTCATAAGAGAGAGTTTTTTATAGCTTCTTCTGCTGTACTTATCGCTGGTCTTCTTTCCGTTAGAATGAACAATCCTTCGAGTCCTTCCAAAGGTAATCATGAAGTTAGAGCTCATGCTTTCGATTATGGATTTCTTTCGAGAGATCAAACGGATGAGTGGAAAGGTTGGATGCAATTCTTAATTCTTATTTATCACTATACTCATGGGTCAAAAACTCTATGGCTGTTTGAAATCATGCGAAATCTTGTCGCTGGATATCTTTTCATGACAGGATATGGACATGCGATGTATTTTCTCAGGAAGGAAGATTATTCTTTCACAAGAGTGGCCAGTGTTCTAGTTCGACTGAATATGCTTACTTGTGCTCTAGCATATATGATGCGTACTGATTATATGGCTCACTACTTTGTTCCACTTGTCAGTTTCTGGTTCTTGGTAGTCTACTTTACTTTGAAGGTAAAGCAAGAGAAGAATTCCAGCACCGGATTCTTATTGGGGAAGATATTCATTTCAGCTAGTCTTACCACGGCTTTTATTAAAATCCCTGGGGTTCTGGAAGTTTTAGCTTTCATACTGAAGTACACATTTGCCATTTCATGGAATATGCAAGAATGGAGATACCGCGCTGGAATGGATATGCTTATTGTGTATATCGGTATGGCAACAGCAATTCTCTATCTACGTTTCATGCGCATCAGAACTGCCTCCGTAAGTTGCACATCTAAAATCGACATCCTTCTTCGACCCGTGGCCCGCCATCCGACACCATTCAAGACTATTGCTATAATAGCCTCGGTTATTCTCCTCCCTGGCTTCCGCCTCTTAACTCAACGATCTCCAGATAGAGAAGACTATCTCTGGTGGCATCCTTATATATCCGCGATTCCAATTCTTGCATTTGTCACCCTAAGAAATTCTCATAGCATTCTGAGGAGTTATCATTCGGCGATTTTTGCATGGTTGGGAAGATGTTCGTTGGAGACTTTTGTTTTGCAAAGTCATATTTGGATGGCAGCGGATTTAAAGGGGGTTTTGAGATTGGGGGTCTGGGATAGGTGGACGGAGGCTGCGTTACTTACGGTTGTTTTTGCGTGGGTTGCTTGGAGGGTAGAGGGAGCTACGGAGACGATTACCAGATGGATTGTTGATGGAGGTTGGAATGGAGGTAGTGCGAGTGGTGGGCAGGTTCAAGGGCAAAAATATCATTCGAGTCATGAATTGGGCGGCTTGGGAGCAACTTTGAAACCGGACTTGTTGCCGATGACTGAGGATGGAGAGGGAACGCCGAGTAAGAGTTTTAGATTTGAGAACTGGGGTGAAGATGCGAATGGGAATGTAACGGGAGTGAGATGGTGGAGAAATGCAATTGTGAGAGGTGTGAGCACGGATTTGAGATGGAGAGTGGGTGGGATTCTGGTGGCGTTATGGGTAGGGAATTGGGTTTATAGGTGATTTGATTTTTATTAATGTGGAATTGTATTGTTGGGGAGAAGTGGGTGGAATGGAATGGTACTGGCTCGGGAACGAGTGGCCTGCCTGTAGATGAATATTTGGGGAATATGCATCATGAAGGTGCTGGTTCTGGGGATTGTGGATTAAGCCTTTCGGCGAATGCATATGATATATCATATCCCATATCGAGGGCGATTGAGTGTGGGGAATGTATATAGCTATGACACCTAGCATATCTTAAAGATTTTGAGGAGGGAGGGGGAATACTATATTGTGTGTGTATTTCTTTTGATTGTGGTTCAATTTTTCAATGGGTTTACAATTGATTTTGCATGAGTACGTATATGGGATGAGTGGGTGTAGAGAAGGTGGAGAGGAGTGAAATATAGCTGGCTAAAGATTTGAAATGGGAATTTGGAATGAGAATAGGGTACAGGATTGGCTCTGGGCTCTGGGCTTTGGTGATGTGGGTGATGTACAATGAGGGGATGAGGGGGTGGAAAGATGGTTGATCGGGAAAGAAGGAACCATGATGTATAATGTACAATGGTATTCCCTGTATTGCTCTTTTGTGTCTCTCGAGAAGGTGGGACTTCTTTGCGCAAATCTAGGAATCCCCCTTTCTTCGTGTCAATCGCAATCTTAAGTTGAGGATTTGTTGGAAGGGTATGGATTTTTGTTCTTGGTTTGTTGGAAATGGGAGCGGGGAATGGGAATGGTGATGCGGAGAGAAGATGAATGGGCTGTAGAGAAGATGAAGAAAGACGTGGGTTGGAGTTACAGTTCATGTGGCTATTCTTTTAATTGGTGATGTGATTTTAAGATGCTTCCTTTGGTTTTTTGTTCTTCTTACTGTTTACTGTTTACTATTAATTTTCAGCTGTCAACTTATAAGTGCATATATATATACATACATACATCGGGCGAATTTGTTTTGTCGGTGGAATACTTGGGGTCCGACTTCGAAGTTTTAAACTCGAGAGCTGGAAGTGGTTCCTTGTTAATATTTCGATATCTTTGTCTCATCGGCGTCATGTCAGGACCCATGGTGTATACCCAATTCTTTGAGTTTCATAAAGAGAGGACTTTGTGGTATATACTCTGTTTGATTCATATTTTTAGTGTGTCTTATTTTCTCGTGCAAGCTTGTAAGATATATATCTGACTCTCTGGTTCGGATTGCCGCGTCTGCTGTATTCTGTTTTCTACTATGTATATCTACCTACTCCCCGGGTATATTACGTTCTCACATATACCACACAACACCTTTCACACTCACACTGTCATTTTTCATTCATTCGCTATCAACCTCTTACAATCGTTACTTACAAAGTAAAGTTAGGTACGTATCATCCGGAAAATAACCCTAGTTCCCCCCGAAAAGAAAGCCCGGATGAGTGGCGCAGGGATAGGAACAGGTCAACCCACACAGAGCCGGAACGAGCTCGCTAACCCACATGTTACTTCCGTTGATTTATGTAGCGTATGAGAAGGATATGCGGGTGGAAAGGTTGGAAAGGGTGGTGCGTCAGTTTCTTAATTAGGTGCTAGGTGAGTGGAATTGGAGTTGGATCTTTTTATGATTTGGATTGTTTGTGAGGTTTGTTTGGTCTCGAGGTGTCTAGATGGAAAAACTCATTTTCACATTACACTTTCAGAACTTGAGTGAAATGAGATTTCGAGATGTGAGAATATGACTACTATCACCAAGTTAGTGCAGAAGAGGTGAAAAACTTTTTTTTTTCTACTCTAGTCGTAAGAACTGGAAATATGTCATTTCATTCATTAATGTCATATTTGCATATATTCCATGCAAACCTGTAACCCAGGAGAGAGTAAAATTTTCAAACGCCCTCTCCATATTTCAAAATGACAACGCGATTTCCCAATCTCCGACACCAGTGTGTTCTGTCTCAGACTCAAAAGCTTAGATCAATTAATGCGACTCAGCACGCTCAACATGTTCTCTATTCTCTGCCTTTTCATCCCCACTAACAGCAATACCACTAGCATAAGTTCTTGCCTCGATTTTCTCCGCGCTGGTCTCGGTTGCGCCGGCTGCTACGGCGTCTACTTCGCCGAAAATGGCATCCATACGCTCTAGTGACATGCCTTTTGTTTCGGGAAGAATGAGGATTACGGAGATCTGATCTTCGTTAGTTTTTCTGTATTTCTTCGAACTTTGGGGGAAAGATGATAGAGATGGGGAAAATGGGAGGAAAGGAAGAGGAAATATACCAGAGCAACAACATTCAAACTGAACAGTAACCAATAACTTTTCCCGCCAACTTCGTCGTTGAATCTTGGCCATGGTTGGGTGAGAGCTAACAAACATACAGTTTGTCCCAGAAGCGGAAGACCAAATTCCTCATCACGAACTTCTTGGGGAAAAGTCTCGGATGCGATGGCTGGGGTTACGGGACTGTTGGACCAACAGCTAGATATCAAATTAGCAAAAACTTCCAAACATAATAGTCTTTGAGAGAAGAAGTAGAAAACTCACTAAGTCAACCCCACAATAAACAACATCGCCACCTCCGCTATCGCCGCCCTCCTATTCGAATTATCCGGATACGCAGTTGTCAAACTACTCAGGATCAAAAGCGCCATACTCTGAATCGCAAATCCCGCAATCAACACACTTTTCCTCCCAAATCTATCCACGGTAAATGTATTCACAAGTACGATGACCAATTGCAACGCAGCTTGTATCCCATTATCGCGAGCGCTTGATGTCCCTGGTCCCAACCTAACGATTTGTAGATGATAGCTGCGTACATGTTAAGCGCAGCTATACCACCGAATTGCTGCAGAGCCATGCCGTACACACCGTACGCGAGACGTTTGCGCATTCCGACCGAGGAGAGGAGTCCTATGTATCCTGTTTTGAAAATTTTGTGGTACTCGTGTAAGGACATCAATTCGTGGAATTCAAGACGCACATGATCATCTGTGACGGTGCCGGAACGCAGTCTTGCAAGTGTGGATAGAGAGTGCTCTGGGGTATCGGGATATTTTTATAAGAGCCAGCGAGGAGATTCCGGATACCAGAAGGAGAGAAGGATGAACATGAAACTGATGGGGATTTGGATGACGTTGGAGACGCGCCAGGCGATGCTGAAGGGGGAGGTGTGGAATGACATGCCGTAGCCGGACCAGAAGGCAATGAAGGTGCCGAGTTGGTAACCGAATTGAAAGACGGTGCCGACGAAGGAGCCGCGGAGACTGCGCGGTGCACATTCGGCGACGTAGAGATTGGTTGCTATGTAGACGCAGCCGAAACCGAGACCGGTTACTAGACGGCCGAGAATGAGGACTCCGTAGGTGTTGGGGACGACTTGAATTATACTGTGGTTGTTTAGTTTGTTTGTGATAAAGAGATAAGGTGAGAAGTACTCACACTCCGATAATCATAACCGTGATAGAAATTCTCAAAGCCCATAATCTCCCCACTAAACTTGCCAATGGACCTCCGATACACAATTGAGCAAACCCTATATGTTCTACCTCAGCGTCTCATACACGTACACACACCAAAATCAACAAGTCTACAAAGCATACCCGTTGTCGCCCAAGGAATCGTAGCAATAACCCCTGTCTCGTCGCATTAACCGCATAATATTTCGTAAACTGCGGATCTGCCAAAATGACAGTCATAATGCCTGCATCATATCCATTGAAACATGTCGAGAAGACCATTCCGTAGAGTAACAATGCGGCATAGCGATCATTCGCGGGCAGGAAAGTTTGAAGAAACCCCATTTTTATTTATTCACTTGGAGAAAGGCAGATGGAGAGATGGATGAGAGGTGGGATGTCAATGGGTGGGTGCATGTTTATGTCTCTCTCTCTCTATATATATGTGTGTGTGTAAGGGAAGAGTATAACGTAGTAGATCTAGCTAATATTTTGAAAACCCCCGCATACGACATATGTTGGTTCTTATCCCATGAACGAGTATTCAAGAGCTGGGGAGAACGTCTCGGGGATGTTCCGGTGGGAGATCGTGGGGTAAACATGGGGTGGCTCCGGTGGGCAGGAGGGTTCAGACCCACTCAGATGGCGACTATCATATCCCGAATGACCTGGGTGCGAGTATATCCTAAAGAATGGGATGAAATCATACATATAAATTATAAAACTCACTTATCATATATAAGAAATCAGAAGTCCAGAATAAAAGTACTAGAATAACACACAAACTCACCATGACATATCCTCAAACCTCACATCTCCAAACCACCTTCACCACTCCCGGATTCATCAGTCGAAGATGCGAAGTCGTATGTTCCACAACCCTATTATACCAGCTGCAAGTTCTAAAAACAACAGGAAGATACGATGAATTTAAACTAAAATGGCATGCCTCCTACCACGACGAACCCGATGTATGGCCCGTACCTAACCATTTATTCTGGGACTCGGGTGTTGCGAAATGGATCGAGGGAGCGTGTTATTTCCTACAATACAAGAAAAATAAGGAGATAGATACTGCGGTCCAAGAATTGGTAGATATGATTCGATCTGCGCAGCAAGAAGATGGGTATTTGAGTATTCATTTTACCGTTGTGTAGCCGGGAAAGAGATTCACGAATCTGAGGGATCTACATGAATTGTGAGAACATCCATCAAGTAAATCGATTGCGGGCTAATTAAGATACTAAGATACAATGCGGGTCATTTGATCGAAGTAGCGCTTGCACATAGTCAATATTATGGGAATGATTTCTTGCTAGAACAGATTCTGAACTATGTAGATTTGGTATCATCGATATTTGGCCCGAACCCAGAACAAAAACACGGATATCCTGGACATCCCGAGATTGAACTTGCTCTTTTGAGATTGTATGAGAAGACTGGAGATTCGAAACATCTGGATTTGGCAAGATATTTCATCGACGAGAGGGGAAATCCAAAGGGGCAAGATGGGCGACATTATTATGATGTGGAGGCGGAAGTAAGAGGAGACCGACCAGATGAAATGCCAAAATATTTTCCTGAAAAGCGAAGTTTTTGGTGAGTATTGAGTCTTTAGTCGAGTTAAAGGATATGAATTAACCCTTGAACTAGGTATCAACAAGCACACAAACCAATAGCTGAGCAAGAAACCATTGAAGGCCATGCTGACCGCGCAATGTACTTATTAACAGCCGTCTCTGATCTCATACGAGTTGATAAATCAGAAGGATCCAAAGAAAAAAGAACTGCACTAGAACGACTATAGAATAACATGGCGCAAAAGAAAATGTACCTGACCGGAGGCATCGGAGCCATAAAACAATGGGAAGGTTTCGGAATCGATTGTTTTCTCCCTTCCGGCACCGACGAGGGAGGATGTTATTCGGAGACTTGCGCATCTATAGGCGTCATGATGCTCGCCGAACGACTTTTACAAGTAAGAACATCAAATAATAAGTTGTGCGTAAATGCTAATGTCACTAGATTGATTTAGATGCCAAGTATGCGGATATCATGGAATTATGTTTCTACAATGCTGGCTCTATTGGTATGTTAGATGATGGAAGTAAATTTACATATGCAAATCAACTTGCATCGAGCGATACAGATTTATCCCGACGAGCAGACTGGTTTAAGTGCGCTTGTTGTCCACCTAATGTTGCTAGACTTCTGGGTTATATTGGAGGTCATCTCTGTAAGCAATTCTTGTTGTTTTGGTAAGACTTCCAAGCTGATAGTGAGTTAGGGACCTCCTCCAGTGACGAAAAGAAAAATACAGCAGAAATAAATGTCCACACGTATGCTTCCGCAGTATTGAGTATTCCAGTAGGTCGTCACACGGTGCAGCTTGAACAAAAGACCGATTGGCCATGGGACGGTAATATCCAATTTGAGCTCAAGAGCCCCGAAGCAATAACAACAACAATCAGATTACGAATACCCGGTTGGGCGAAAGATCGGACAGTAAGCGGTATTCCCCATTGCAAAAGAGCGCGCTAATACAATTAGATATCTCCCGAGTTTGATCGATACGCCTCAAAAGTAACCAAAGGGTACTTAACTCTCCCCCCGGAATATCTGAAAACAAACCTATCCTTTCAACTCAACATCACTCTGAAACCGCGATTTATATCACCACATCCATACACAAACCAAAACATCATAGCGCTAGCTCGTGGTCCTATAATCTACTGCGTGGAAGATTTCGATAACCCATGGGTAGATGATCACTTCAAGGCAAGAAGTTTCTCTATATCCTTCTATATCAATCCCATACTGACAAACATATAGAGTCTCGTTCTAGATACAGAGTGTGAGATAACAGAAACCGATGTCAATTCTGCGGAACCATATAAGGAATTGACGGTCCGCGATGGTGCTACACTGCTTAAAGTACCGGAATCGTCAGGACCATATTTAGCCCATAACAAGAACAATTTTGCAAAGGTTGATATTTAAAGACTTCACTATATTCCATATGCTCTTCGAGATGATAGAGGAGGAAAAGGACATATGAGGGTAGGCTTGCGGCGGAAAAATACATGGGTGTAAATAATGGTCAAAATATTGATACCAAATGCGTATTTCATATAGTTTTTGTAAGGCACGATTCTCAATGGAGAATCCCAATATATAATTCACCACGAGAATAATCTTCTACCCTCAATATCCTCAATTTTGAAGTCTCAATTTACTTGAAATCTCCGTTTACTTTAATTCTCTATTCACTTGAAATCTCAATGGTCAGTATCCACCATTCACTCTCCATAACAGGAAACTACGCTAAAAATTTATTAGCGCCCTTTGCACATGTAGGTACTAGGTACTAGGTACCTATATATATCCCCTCAGTTTCAATTTTGCCGCGCAAATTTCTAAACCTTTATATGATATTTTCCCCGAGTTCCGCATCGACCAAGTTCCGCGCGCCGAGTTTCGTTTCCCGCTACTCGTACTCACTCGGGACCCCGAATTTATTTCTCGTTTTAAATCGCTACCAACCAGGCCGACACCGACCTCCGACCCCTACTACTGCAGCTCGGACAGATACAAGTGATTGTAAAAACACAAAATGAATCAATCATTCAAGAAGAAATATCTTCGGGTACAAATCGCTCCCGAAATATCAGCTACAAGCATTGCCATGCCTAAGACTTGCCCAGAAACTCGCACTTATACCGAGGAAGAGGTACAGGACTTTGTGGGTACTGTGTTAGACATGGCAGTACAGCTTCTACAAGGAAATGGAAAGAGAGAGGCCCCGAGAGAAGTTTTGGAAAACGACTCGGAAGCGAGACAGTAAATAACAGTCTTCAAAGTGGCCCGGCCACGGCCCCGGCCCGCAGAAAGAGAGTACCTGATACCGACAAGGAAATAATTTGCAACACCCCAATTATTACCGCAGAACCTCCTCGACCAACAATCGACCCAAGTCTTCCTTTCAATAATGTATCCCGAAAGAGAAGAAGTAGTCGCCAAAATACGCGGGCTAAGTCACAAGACTTGTGTGCGGCTCGAAGATTGCAACGAGAAACCCCCTTGGCGTCTTGGATGGAATAAAATACTACCGCACATGGTAAAGTTCGAGATTGGCACACTAGACCCATCCTCTTTAATCCAAGCGTTCCAGTCCCACGAGACAACAAACTCCCCGACCCGTCGGTTTTATGGGGACCTTGCGTGCGCTATAATGAATACCGAGTACGCATCCGCTAAGATGACGCGCCATCTCAAGGCACCCGCTGATTACGACTCGCACGGGAAATTCCTCTCCACGCGAGTTTCCGTTGGGTGGCCGGCGATGAACGCGGGGGGGCCAAATACTCTTGGTTGATGGAAGACCAATGCTTGGTTTCCTAAGAGATATAGCTGAGCAGTTCCCTCGTTACGATAAGATCAAAGCTACAGCGAAGGCTGCCGTCTGTGGAAAAGATGCCGCTTGGTACGAACAAAAATTCCGGGCTACAAATGCTAGACACTTGTCACGCTCCAGCAATGGTAATCAAAATGAACCAGGAGCCGGCCAACCAACCCGTGGTTTCTCCCTCAACTCTGGCCCAGGACGCGAACCACATACCGAACTAGTCGGTATGTTTTCTTTCCCTTCTCCAAGAAATGCTGTGCCCACCAAATCAATCTCCCAGTTCTCTTCCGCTTTACCTCATACTCCTCGAAGTCAGACACTACCCCAAGCGGCTTCTGTCCACGGTCCCACACCCATGATACGACCAAGTATACCGGAATTATCTGTCTCAGAAGACTTTTCAAGAATTTGGTCGAGTGACAACCGAGTTCGTTCCACCTTAGTAGCACGCGGGCCACTAGGGCGCCTTGATCCAGACAGCTATATGCTCAAGACAACCGAATCACAAGTCCTGCCGTGTCTCCAGATAGCGACATCGAAGCCAAAAAGCTGATCCGAGAAGGTGAAGCAAATCTGGTCGGAATGTAAAGATCTGTAGTTGTAGCTCTTCAGGAAGCCAAGGAAAAGCGCGGTGGAAACCTGTCTTCGGTCTAGAATTAGCTACTAGCTAAATTCAGCACAAAGATAGATCTCTCGGAGAGGTTCAAAAAGTTAATTGATGGTGAAAGTGAGGAAAGGTAAAACGGGAGATTCACAGTTGCCCAAGGTCGACTCGGAAATTTCGGGGCACTGGGGTTCTATGGCGTGTGAATTAGCAAAGCGAGGCCTTTTTGTGACTTTCTTTCTTAAGTAGTCTGATGATGAAGACAATTAAGCAAAGGTAGTTTGAGAAATGAGTCTATGCATGGAATGGATGGTGGGTATGTAGGAATCTAGGACAGCCAGATTTAGGCATCGAAGCGAAGTCGTCTTTTGGGGGAGTTTTGCGGGTATATTCTTTGAGTCTCTTATGGACATCGGCATCTGAAAAGAATGATAATCGCGCAGCTTTAGCAAATCGGAAAGGTACCCAAAACCTTATAAGAAATGATATATCCAAATACTCGTTAGGTTGAACCACTGGCTTCCGTCGACATTATCTTCCACCCTAAACGAGAAGAAGAAATCTAAAAAGACGCTTTACCAGAAGGGACAATCTGTACCTAGTAGTTGTGGTTAAGCGCATACTCTAATAAATGTCGTGCTCATGCTCACTTGAATTTCAGCTCCTACTTGACCTTTCTTTGATCCCCAAGTGACAGGGTTACACCAAAACACGTGAATGAAAAACGCGAACTTGAGGCGTTTGAGCGGCTCCAATGCATACCCCAGAATTCAACATTTGTTAGAATGAGGGGCAACAAGTGGTCAAGCCAATAACGTCAGTCCTTTTGTACCACACAAAGGTTACACTAGCTAGTCCGTCATAACCACCAAAAAACCGCATCTTCAGAATGTTTTAACGTCGAGCAATATGTTTAACAACCAATGTTGAATTGGATAGAATTGCAGCAACGGCAACGGCAACAGCAACAGCAACAGCAATAGTAACAACGACCACAGCAACAACAATAGCAACAGCATATACATAAATCCCCAAACTGTGAGATTGTCACATGAAATCAGCACATCCCAAAACCTAGCCTCGGATGTATCATTGTACTTTGTCCTCCTTACCTTTATTTTTCACCCTCCAAATCTTATTTCGGACTAGCAAGCTCAATTTGGGTAAATCCGACTTTCGTGCATTTTGTTGAGAGCAAAGTGATGAATTGGGCCCCGCTTTTCCTCCCATTGTGATATCTGCGGAGTAGCGGACGGAAGGCGAGAGGCAAACACACACACACCAAAAGCCAAAAAAACAAGAATTGGATGAAACTTCTCTTCGCCACTATTTCGAAGAAAGTTCATCAGGTGGGTGAGTTCTTTCATCTAGTAGGGAGGAGAGGATAAAGCTTAGTCATTCAATTGACTTTTGGTGTGTGACACTGTGTACACCTAATAATAAGCACAGTATCATTATTATTAGTAAGTATACTCGCCACATACAACGGACGTACAGTACATATGTAGACTCTAGCCTGCATTCATAAGGCTCGCTGCAAGATTGACTAGTGAGGATGCATCTTGATGGGAGTGTTGAATCGTGTATCTGGTATCGTATATCGTGTCAACGGCTGAACCGCATCCACCAACACCAAACAAAGTGCAGCATTTGTCGGGATACCGGGATACGGAGCAAAAGGCGGTAGAGGTGATGCGCAATCCAATCCAAATTCAAAGTGCGCACCGAACATTCATGGATGCATCAAATAAGGCTGAAAAACAGCTAGCCCACTCAACTAATCAACTGATCAACTCATCAATTCATCAACTCATCAGCTAATCAGTCAACCCTAGAAGCTTAGGGTTCGAGGATCCATTACCTAGGTACCCGTGGACAGCTTTCGTTTGTGGCTCCTTTCCTTGTGTGGCCACTGGTGAATAGGATGGAACTTATGGATGTCCCAAAATTGTTGGGATTTTTTTTTACCAAGGTGAAGCGAGGCTATCAAACTATGATCTATCAAATGAATTTACCTAGTAAAACCTTCAATATTACGAGTTCACTCAATCATTTCATTTAATTATTTCTGAAGAAAAAAAAAGAAGAAAAAAAAGGACGGGATTCAAGAAAAAGAACCGAGGCCCGGATTTAGAAGGAAGAGGAGAGGGTACGGTACAGCAACTATTGGATTCTTCTATTTCTTCCCTTGGAGATCTTTTTTTATTGCATGCCAAAGAAAGGTCAGGAATTTCTATACATTACCTACCTACCGAGTATATCAACAATACTGGTCGAAGAAGAGTTTCATTATTTTCTCTCTTCACATTGGAGTTTTAATTTCTTCTTCAACATTCATATCTAAAGTTTCTTTCAATTTGAGAGATTCAGTTGATTTCTTTTCCCTTCTCCAATTTTGGCCCTTTCCTCATTCGATATTCGTTTTGATATCGATATCGATATCAAAATTCTTTTGCAATTCTTTGGTTACATCCCTTCCGTCGCAAGGCAAGACTTCACTCTCAACTCACTCTCAACTTACATCTCGAACTTTTCGAAAGAAAGATACCTATAAAATCTCCCCCCAAAATGGCCTCCGCAACTGTCCATTTCTCTCACCCGGAACCCTCTCTATTCACATTTCCTCCAAAGGGCGACCCTCAAACTTTACCTCCTCCAATACCAGGGTCAACACTTTCTGCCCCTCCATTCGAAATCGACCCCTCCTGGTACAATGCCGCCCTCGATGTACGAGTCCCAATCACAATTGCGGCTGTGTATGCCATAACGGTTACACTGGTCAATCAATATAACAGACGCGCTGGAAACAAAGCTTGGCCAATCAGCAAAACCAAGGCTTTCTTCGTTTTTGTCGTGGCACACAACATTTTCTTGGCTGTATACTCGGGATGGACTTTTGTTGGCATGTTTGGAGCTTTGAAAAGGTCAATTCAAAACCCAATGGGCCCAGCTGGTCTCGCCGGCACCGTCGACAGTTTATGCAAAATCCATGGGGTTACCGGTTTGGACAATGCTATGTCTTACAATGCAAGCACGTCGAAATGGAACGCAGCATTGCCAACTGAATTCAAATTGACAAGTGCCGGAACTCCAGACCCTACCGATTTGGGAAGATTATGGAATGAGGGACTTGCATTTTATGGATGGTTTTTCTATCTTAGCAAGTTTTACGAGGTTCTTGATACTGTCATTATTTTGGCAAAGGGAAAGAGAAGTTCTACCCTGCAAACTTACCATCATGCTGGAGCTATGATGTGCATGTGGGCTGGAATTCGATTCATGTCACCACCAATTTGGATGTTTGTGTTTGTTAACTCTGGAATTCACGCATTAATGGTAAGTTCTTCTTCATCCCAAAATCTTGTAATTGAGACTAACATTTGGCTTTTCAGTATACCTACTATACTCTTACAGCATTCTCCGTACCAATCCCACAAGCTCTTAAGCGCAGTCTCACAACAATGCAAATCATTCAATTCCTCGTTGGAGCTACATACGCTACCGTCCACTCCTTCATCTCCTACACAGTGACCGTCCAAGTTCCCTCTATCCCAGCTACCATCTCCTCAGTTACTTCCTCGGCCTCCGTAGTCGCTACCTCCGCCGCTGCAATCGCAACCTCAAGCGGAGTCGCCGACCTGATCAAGAAACTTCTTTACCGCGCAGTCGGCGAAGAAGGTCTCGCCGAAAATGTCAACGCTCCAGCCGTCTCAAATGTCGCTCAAGCACCAATTGCTTCTATCCCTAAATCGCACTCTAAAATCCCAACATACGTCACTGAAACTCGTACCATCCCTTGTATCGATACCAGTGGTCAAACTTTCGCTATCTGGCTCAATGTTATCTATCTTACCCCATTGACCTTCCTTTTCGTAAGATTCTTCATTAAATCTTACATCAGGAGAACAACAGCAAGTGGAAAGAAAGCAGGTAGAAAAGCAAGTTTTGTAGCCGCGGAAAAGGCAGGATTTGATGCGTTGAAGGGTGTTGAGAGGGAGATGACCAGAGGCGAAAGTAAGCTATCTAATGGCTTTGAGAAGAAGTGAATGGAGATAGTAAATAGTTGAAAGGATTCAACCTGATGTGGTTAGTGAGAGGAACCCTACTTAATGCTAGGGTCTGGATCTGGTCTATGGAAAAAACCCCCAAGTACCGGGATGAAAAAAAAAAGATACAACAAAGAACAGATAAACAAATAAACAAACAACATACACAGAAAACCCTTCAAAGCAAGGGAACGGATACACAAAAGGTCATTTAGGGTGCAGGATGGACGGTATGTGGGAAGCAATGAACCGGAGAAAGAAGCGATGCGTTACTAAATCAAAAGTACGTATTGTAGTGAGTGGAGGGGTGTGGTTTTAGTCTTTTTAAGCGTGCGATACGATGCGTGCGGTATGTTTTGTGCTACGATGATGCTACGATGCTACAATGCTCCGTGCATGCTAATGCTCAATTCGATATGTACGTACCTATGTATGATAGAATCCAATGATACCATTATAAATTGATTGTTGATTTTTTCTTTTGGTCTTTTGGGGTTGGGGGTTCGTCGTGATTGTGTATATGGTATGTGGTATGCAGTACACGAGTGCAACGGAAATCGTGAATTGTGAATTGTGAAAGAAGGGAATAAATGAGAAAACGTCTTGGTCGCGGGGAGATCGGTAGATTACATACCAAGATTTGTAGATTTAGGGAGTTCGCTTAGAAGGTAGATGGAGATCGGTAGGTACCTAAGTACATTAGGTACAGCAGTTACTCGACTGAGGTGGTTCTACCACAATTTATCTTCTGTATTCGTTCAGCTAGATACCTAGGTAGGTAGGTAGGTAGGCATTTTCCATTACGTTGCATTACATTGCGTTATACATCTGTCATTATACTCTGCATCTATTCTAATATTATTTACATCTGGTATTTACATCTGGTATTCAGTATCCGCACTAGCGATATAAAGATCTCTAAACTTAATGTCTACAAAGGTACCTAGTAGTATTAGCAAGTGACTTTTCCCTCAATATACTGTTCCCATCCATCAATATCATCTAGCCCCTCTCATCCATACCCACCCACCCACCCTTTCTCTCCTCTCCCTCCCCAAACTCCCAAACCCCCCTGCGATTCAACTCAATCCCCTACTCACTCACTCTCTACCACCGCCACCACCGACTTGCGATCCCGTGGGACTTCTTTCGGGGCTAAAAGGCACCCCTTCTCTCCTATCAATATCCTTCCTATCAAATTCATTCGCATGAGCTTGAATCCTATCATTAGCCGTAGCCTGTTTATTACTCGCTGCTATCGCTCTTACGGCCTATTCGCAATGATGATTAGTATTTCATTCTTACCACTCACACACTCCTCTCCTCTCGTCTCCTATCCCCTATCCCTTCAAAACCCAAAACATTGGACAAAAGACAAACTGCAACCAAACTCATCCCATCATCCGAGACCCCTCACTCCCACCTCCAAGGGAAAAAAATTACTTACAGCCATAACCGCCGTTCCCTGACTCTGTTTCTGTTTCCCAGCACTCGCATTCCCCTTTCCCCCTGCATCCCCCCTCACCGGTCTCCCCTTCTCACTCCTCCCCGAATTATCCCTCACAGCCGTCACAATACTACTACTTGAATCCCCCCTCTCAATACTCTTACCCAATCCCCTTCCAATTCCCAACTGCTGTCTCAAACCCGTCGCATAAGTTTCTTTTCCCGGTGATGTACTCACAATTTGTTTCGATCCCGTATTCCTTGTTTTCGGACTTACTTTCAATTGCGCATTCGCATGCGCGATAGGATGTCTGGGTAAAGACACAAACTCATCTTCATTATTCATCACATAACTCAATCGGCTCGCAGGCACCGAGACGGAATTACTTTTTCGCAGAATATCTTTTGAGGATTTGTGCAGCAAAGATGGTGTATCATCACCTGTTCTAAACGAAAATCCCTTTCGGGATTCGATGGATGAAGATACTTCTCCGTCGTCTTGCGGTTCGACCCATGGTCGTGTGCTGGTTGTTACACCTGGTAAGAAAGGATCCATTTCTTGATGTTTGCTCGGGATGTCGGGTAGAGGTTTTTCTTTACCGCTATTGCGAATACCGGATATTTTGGGAGTGCGACTGGGAGTGCCGGCTTGACCTTCGGTGAAAGCAGAGCGGGAACTGGTGTCATCTGACTCCGATGATGAGTCGAATACGACACCGAGTTCTTCGGTAGCATGTTGTCTTTCTAGTGCATCGAGTTGCACGGATGTCAAGCGTGTGGATTGATTATCTACTGCCGAGTAAAAACTTTCGGTATCTTGGACTGAAGAACTTTCTTTGCGTCGAGATTTGACTGTTTCTTCGTGGTGTAGATCTCCTTCCTCATGAGAGAGCTCACTTGCGTTTGTAGGAGTTTCTAGTGCATGCGAAGAAGTACTCTGTTGTCCGTGATCGATATCCCATTCAGTTGTGGTAGTAGAACCTAAGAAGTTTAGACATTATAAAGCCAGAATAGGACATGAGCAACGAACCTCTCCCAGAACTATAGCGCGCGAAATTTTGCTTTATTTTCTCCATACCATCTTCGAATAAATCGGCAGCTCTTCTAGTCCCATGAACAACACTTTTTGAGCGCGCCATGGTAACATTTTCCATTCCTCCCTCTGTCTTGGAAAGAAGAACTTCAAGATTCTTTATCTCTTTCTGATAATCTTTTTCTTTCGCTTTCCACCTAATATTACGCACATAATTAGCACTTCATACACTTAATCTTCATCTACATTCAAATATAACTTACTGTTCAGCCATACTATCAAACTCCCTAATATCCTTTGTATGTCTTCCCTTAATCTCTTCAATCTCCCCCTCCTTCACAGCCAACATCTCCTGCAGATCATTATACGACTCCAAAACATGTAAAATACACGTATTATACTCCACGGGAAGCGATTCCATCAAATTCCTCGTCATCATAATCACTTTCAGTGTTTCGGCCATCTGACTTCCCGAAGGTTTATGGTATACATTTTCAGGAATATTGACATGTTGAAAGGTAAAGGTATCACCAGTAGGTGCATGAAGATTCGAAGTTGACGAGCGAAACCCGATATAAGAGGAAACGCGCGAACTGGGACGGATAGATTTCATAGTGTCGTCGGTTTCGTGAGGTTCGTCAGAATGATTGCTGGGGGCGGACTGAACGGGTGTTCGTGTCCTTGCGAAGACGGGTCGGAGCCATTGATCCATTTTGGATGTTGGGATTCACTGGAGATGGAGATGATTCATACAATGATTCGACTTTGGAGAAGTCTGATTGAATTGATGTGGTGGTAATGGTTGGAAGGCATTATATAACTGAAAAGAGAAGGAGTAAACCATTCATGGCCGTACCAACAACAGTAAGATGACGAGAATTTTTGATATTGGCGCCAATAATATTTCATTCCGAGTTAGCTGTATGGCAGCATTTGTCGAGCTATGAAGATCAGTATTTACATTGGTCTCAAAGGTGAATGGAGATTGGAAGTCGCCGATGGTGAACTGATTCAGTTAATAGCATTCATCGAGTGAAAAAGGAGAAAAGGAATATAGCTACATTATCGCGAGTTCCTTCTTTGTCGGAAAACGATTCACAATTTCATTGACCTGCGATTATGTAACTAAGAAGCTTCGAGAGGTGATTATTGAATAATATAAATAGACTACGAGCTTCAGCTTGCTTGTGAAATGCTGCTTACTATGTGCAGAGTATAATGGTATCTTTTCCATTTCCATTTCCATGACCATTCCCATATAACTCCATTTGCTAAAGCATCGATACCCCAACGCTATGTGCAATCCTAACAACCGCAGAGAAGATATCACTGGATGCCTGTGGGTGGCTTCATGATCTCCTGAACCTAGTAAAATAAATCTTCAGCCTTCTGCCTTCTTGTACCCCTTCCAACCAATCTCTCTGAAAAGAGCTCTTTCCCTGTATTCCCACTCCCCGAGCGAGAAGGAAATAGTTCCTTCATGGTTGAATTATCAGATGCTAAACCTTTGATGGAGAACCCAGTAGAAGCAGGCTTCGCGGTTCCACGAATGTTAAAGCCTTGCGATTGCTGTGGCTGTTCTGATGTAATCCTGTCTGCCAATGAGAGTTTGCTGGGTCGAACATCTGAGCTTCCATCAATAAATGGGACAGGCATCCTATTTGCAAATAAATCTGCCGTTTCGTCTGCAGCATCTAAAGCACCGGACTTTCGTTGAGTAGTGCCTAATTTACTCGGGAAGAGTTCCTTTGTAGCGGATTCTCTGCGGAGGCGAACTTTAATATCCTTAGCTTTCGACCTATTCTCTGCAGCTGCTGTGTCTCGACGTCGTCTATTGTTATCTCTAGCTCTATTCTCAGTCCTCATGGGCGATGCGCTTCGATCTCTTAATCTTCCATCATTTCCACTCCTATCTGGAAACAACTCTCGCGAACCGGAGCCTCGTCTATTGCCAGATCGCTCCCTAAAATCGCTAATGGGTGAGTCAGATCCGGATCGTCCAAGACCTCTTGTAGTTCTAGTTGCCAAAGCTGCTTCGTCGTCGTCGTAAAGACTTGCGTTAAACCCTGCTTCCGCATCTCCACGCTGTCGATTTCGTTGTTCCCGTTCATCATATCTCCGACTTCTATACCCATCATCATCTCGATCTCGATATCTTCGTCCACCCTCGCGTTTTCTGCGCTCTGCAGGATCATGTTCGGGATTGAAAAGGTAGAAGCGACTTCTCTCTCGAGCTCCTCTCTGTTTACGATCTCCGATCACGGCAATGCGTACTTGTAAGTTGATTTTGGGATTCTCGGGAAAAGGGTTGGCAGGAAATGATTGTAAAACCGGAAGCTGTGAAATGTCCTCCGGAAGTTCTTGAGCAGAGAACTTTCGAAGAGCTGTTTCAGCGATATCGCTGCTTCCGTACACTAAATTCAATGAAGAATCATCAATCCATTCTACTCGTGAAATGTTTTCGGTGAAATAGTGTTGCGCGAAGTTCTTTACATCCTGAGTGGTAAGATTGTCCAAACCGCGAATGTGGACTTTCTCTGGTGTAGGGTTTTCTGCATCTGGACCAGAGTTATCGTTTGGGGCTGATGTTTCGTTTTGTGTAGCAGGCTGATCCGGCTGTGTATATAAGTTAGTGCAATGTTGTTGAAAATAATGTCTAGTTAACACGTCTAGCAGTGCCTCCGATCTGGCATTTGTGTCGTCCACCGGCGCATAGACATTCAAATGTCAAAAGTACTTACAATCAGCTCAATGTCTACCATGTCTGGAACGGGCAATTCCTCAATAATTCCAACATCGATATCCATATCGATATCCATGTCGGTCGCCATGTTGAAATGTGAAAGTGTCGCAAGTATTGAATTCTCAAAGATGTCGCTCGTTGGAGATGTTGGTTCTTGTGCGCGTATCTCAAGTCCTTGACGTGTATTTGTGCAGCTTGTTTGATTGTTCAGATATGTGTGATAGATCGAATCCCTAAGTACGAGATGTGTTGTGTTTGCTATAAGCTGCAGAATTGTCCGGTGGTCTTTGATGTCAGGAAGTGGTGCTGACTCGGATTATTTGAGGCTCCTGGAAGGATTGTTGGAGTTTGCGTGCGAAAGAGCGACCCTTTAGAAGACTTGAATTGAATTGGCCGTATTTTCGAATATCCAAACAGTTGAATGGTGAATTAAAAGAGTTATGATAGGTAGGTATCTACCTGTTGCTGTAGATTAAGGATATTCTTTTGAAGCCGAACTTTCTAAGTTGTTAGTGTAAGCGCGGTGTGGGGTCGGAGTTAAGCTTTATTAATGTGTGCCAATTTTTGAAGTTCAAATTGTGCCTTTAAAACCTAGATCATCATTTTATTGTTGACTTTGAACTCAAATCTCGATTGAAGCATTCAAGCATGAGACAGGAACCATTTGAAATCTAAGCAGGAAACCGAAATGTGTTATGGGCAACATGGGAACCACAAGTGGATGAAGCTATTCGTCATTACATATATCTACATGTGCTACAACGACGGCTTATACTCCACCCTCGAATTCAAAGATGTACTAGAAGCTTTGAGGGCATCACTTGCCCCAAGTACAACTTACCTGTACGTACCCTTCGATTGCTACACCTCGGTCTCAAGCATGAAAGTTGTCATAGGGGCCATTGGATTGTCGAACTCAAGATCGGAAAATTAGAAGATCTTGCCAATCACCATTCTTTAATGGTTTCTGTAAGTTACGGATTCTCTCGAAGTGTTTTTTTGCCTCTATGGAGTAGTTAAATTATGTTATCAATAAGAGGATATGGCCATTAAAGCCTAGGGGGAGAAAAGAGGGTAAGGGAGGGGATGGGGAAATGATGGGTATCGAAGGAGAAATTGAATATAGTTGATTCAATTGAAAAGTAAATTTAAGATCAATCAGTGTGCATTTATGGACTGATTGTGATATTCCAGGCCAAATGAGAAGGAAGTGTCTGGATCGGATGGCACCTGTTACAAACATCGTGCGTGAGAGTCGAAGGAATGGATCAGGACGATACGAGATTTTTCAGTGGTATCTTTTCTTGGATACAGGCAAGATGAAATCCCCAGACTTCGTAGTGGAAGAGTACTCTTGCTACTGATGCCTGAAGCCTCATTTGCTGTTGTTTTGTCCTCGCATTGCATCATTCATGTATTCTGCCATTTCCAAGGTTGAATTTGTTTATAACAGCACCGTGTCTAAGATTCTGAAATACAGTTAATTCGAAACCTTCCGAGCTTTGTATCTCTGAGCATGCTTCAATTGATCCAATGTTTGAACTTTATTCACTGTTTCAAGTTATTCCGATGAGTGTGAGCATCTTATTGTGAGATTGCAATTCGAACTATCTGACACGCAGGCTCACGTTCTATGTTCTCCTATGCAAGACAAGCTTCGTGAGTGAAGTCATATACTGTATCAACCGATGTCTATAGTGGTCTACAAATCTCGATCAAAGACTGTATTTATAATGATTGAGCTTTCAAATATATCTTGATTAAGAGCTTAATTCGCCGCGAACATGGCAAAGTTATTGTGGCTTGAGATTCACCCTTTCATCGAATGAACCATAGAACCGATGGCCCTTGTTGGCGGAAGAAAAGTCTTAGACAAGTATTTTATCTTCTACCTTTCGGTTCCTCTCACATTGCACATTCTCAGCAATCTCACTGATAGGAACTTCATCTTGTGATATTAGTGGTATGACATCACAGCCGCCGTTGCTAGTACCGACGACTAGGTTACTATTAGCTCAGTAAGCTGCAGTAGCAAGATCTAATTTCATCTTCTTACCAGAAGAGATACCGTTCCTTCTTGTTCGCTTCGTCCAAACTTCTACAATTCTTGGTGCTGTGCTGACTTTGCGCTTAAATCAATTCGCCAAACATGATTGCAGATATTTTGATGTAGCGTCGTTTTTGTCAAGAGAAGTCGTGTGAGTGCTAAAGAGAAATAGAATACTCCGGCAGAGCGAGCGATATGGCATTCTTCCAGTTCAGTAGTTTATTAAAAGGGTGATGGTTGATTCAGATAAAATCACGTGTCTTGTTAAATAGACTATGGTTACAGAGATGAACAGGGCGAAAATTTGGCCGTCAGTTCAGTGTTACATGGGAATGTCCACGGCCATGGCGGCTTGTATGTCGCCAGGTTTAATTAGGGACATCAATGCGAGACGATTGTCATATCATTTCTCGCTGTAAGCATGACTGAGTAGGTGATACTCAATCCCAGGAAAGTGTAATATAAACCCATCATGAAACCAAGACATGGATGTGAAAATGGGACATTTACTCTAGTGAGCCACTTATTTGACAGTCAAATCCTGTTACAATCTTCAACGAACCGTCCTTGTATAAATATCTACACCTACTGACTACTTTGTGGAGCTTTCAACCTCACAATTTCACCCCCTCTATATCATGGGAGCCCTCTAAGCATATTGCGAGGTTCAATCTCAAGACACCGGTGTGGTGTTGCCATCACGAGGGAATTTGCAAAGAGGAGAAATCTTATTCCCGCCAATTTGGAGTATATAATCTGTTTCCAGGAGTCACTACTATGGAAAGAAAAGGTTTCTCATCACCAATGGGACCAACAGATGTCTGCAAGGCCTCGATGTCCTTTCACGAGCTTAATCGAATCTTTTTAAGGCGCTGCAAGTATTATTCTTTGCTGGGGGCTTATGATATTAGCGTGAAACAAT